GAGAGAGAGAGAGAGAGAGAGAGAGAGAGAGAGAGAGAGAGAGAGAGAGAGAGAGAGAGAGAGAGAGAGAGAGAGAGAGAGAGAGAGAGAAGACGAGAGAAGAGAGAGAGACAAGAGAGGAGAGAGGAGAGAGGAGAGAGAGAGAGAGAGAGAGAGAGAGAGTGAGAGAGAGAGAGAGAGAGAGAGAGAGAAGAGAGAGAGAGAGAGAGAGAGAGAGAGAGAGAGAGAGAGAGAGAGAGAGAGAGAGAGAGAGAGAGAGAGAGAGAGCGAGTGAGTGAGTGAGTGAGTGAGTGCGAGAGAGAGAGAGAGAGTGACGTGAGAGTGAGAGAGTGAGAGAGAGAGAGAGAGAGAGAGAGAGAGAAGAAGAGAGAGAGAGTGAGAGTGAGAGAGAGAGAGAGAGAGAGAGAGAGAGAGAGAGAGAGAGAGAGTGAGAGTGAGCGAGAGAGTGAGTGAGTGAGTGAGAGGAGAGAGAGAGAGAGAAGAGAGAGAGAGAGAGGAGAGAGAGAGAGAGAGGAGAGAGAGAGAGAGAGAGAGAGAGAGAGAGAGAGAGAGAGAGAGAGCGAGAGAGTGAGAGAGAGAGAGAGAGAGAGAGAGAGAGAGAGAGAGAGAGAGAGAGAGAGAGAGAGAGAGAGAGAGAGAGAGGTTAGAGCACATCTAAGTAATTCCAACCTATCCTGCATGACCTTAGTATGTAGCATAGGCTGTGGTTTTTATACCATGCTTGTGATCTTCACTTAAAATCTTTTTTATTCTCATAACACTATAATACAAACTGTATTTATATAAAAAAAAATCTTGGAGAAATAAACGCCCTTTTCAAGAAGGAGTTGAATTAACAAAATACTAGTTTTTATTTTTTTTTCCTCAAAAAGCAAATGTAAAAACATGAGAAATTCATATTTTGATAAAACAATAACATTATCCAAATCAATTCTGGTCCAAATCAAGTGTCATCCCGCACACACTCATAGCTTCTCTCATTTTATCTATTCATCTATTTATTAGTAGGGGCTTTTTCAATCTGCAAGGATTCAAATGACGTGCAAGAAGTGTGTTGTCAGCCTTAGTTCTGCTTGCATTCATACCATCGGCAGATATGGTATCAGAAATGGAACTAATTGTAGCATACTGGTCTTTCACTGAGAGTCTGAATATTCATCTCTTATCTGTTTTCAAAAATTTTTTCGTGTCCAGTTGCATTTCGTCAATTTTTTTTTTTTTTTTTTTTTTTTTTTTTTTTTTTTTTTTTTTACCAACACATGCTGGTGATAATAGACACTTCCGGGAAATGATGTTGCATCTAAATATGGATTTCCACACAAACACACACACACACATACACACACACGCACACACACACACACACACACACACATACGCACACACACACACACGCACACACACAATGAATCATGGGGCTCCAACCACTTTTTTTTACCCATTTCTGTAGAGCTGCTCTCAGAAGACTGAACTAAAGATATTTTCTATTGTAAATCTACAGTAACAACTGTCATGTGAATAATTTATTATTATTATTATTATTATTATTATTATTATATTATTATATTATTTATTATTATTTTTATTATATATATATATATATTTTTTTACCAAATCAGGCAAAAGGGAAAGGAAAGTAAACAAGAAGAGGAAGTTAAATGACCATCCTTGACATCTAGATAAAGACTCTTACCTTCTCTTTTTTCTACAATAGGCATAAATATATCAATTATTTTCATTGCTTTCTATTTCATATCTATATGACATGAATAACAAAGTAGAAAACGGGTGATTGAAAAAGATAATGACTTGCTTATCTTCGCCAAATGGTCTGGGTAATGTCCGAATTTTGTGGGAAAGTGAAGTAGGACAGTTTTACAGCTGGGAAGAGAGGCAAGAGATGAAGACTATGCCACTTGCTGTCATTTAGATCTCAGGCACCTTCGGGTTAAGGTCCTATCACACTAGCAGTTTTTCCGTTATTTTTTTCTCGTTTTCGAATGATGAAAATCGACTGATCCATGTAAACAAAGATGGCGCTGTCGGAGTGAGGTCCCGGGAGTCACACGAACATTCTCATACATATTACGTTATTTTAAAGAAATATGATGGTGTATGTTGAATATACGAATGTTCTAAAATATTAGCTTATGTTTAAATGCACTCATCCTATCTAATTTATTATCAGCACAAGATCAAGACGGAAAATAGTCAGACGGAAACGGTCGTAACCGTCTTCGTCTGGGAGGATTTTCCTTTGCAAACGATCCTCAAATTCAGACGAAAAAGCTGAAATTGACGTAAAAAGTGCTAGTGTGATAGGGCCTGAAAGACTTATCACACTAGCAGTTTTTTCCCGTCAATTTCTGCGTTTTCGTTTGAATTTGAGGTTTTCCGCAAGTTTGGTTTGCAAACAGAACGCCGCCCAGACGGAGATGATTGCGACCGTTTCCATCTGATTAATTTCCGTCTTGATCTTGTGCTACTAGAATCTTTTATT